AAAATATGGATTGATGAGTTCACATGTCCCTGAAGAGGACAATGTGCTGCAGCAGAGAAAACACGGACTGGAATTTGGGGGTGTTAGATCCAGATCTGGCTCTGAGCTGAAAGCGACGGGGTCAATCACCTCCTTTCACAAATCACAAACCACTCTGGTAGACGCTTTGCTTTGAATTTAAAACCAAATCAGCCTATGTATGCATCTATTTTATCAGCAACATTTCCTAAGTCCCTACTGGGTACCAAGCTGTGCGTCAGAAACCTCGGATGCAGGGGAAGATACAGGACAATTTCTGACCCCAACTGAGACCAAGACTAGAGCAGTGAACCCTACGGCACAGAAGCATCTGAAGAGCAGGACAGAAACTCCTGCCCATATCTGTGGGCTTGGCCTAAACTTACCCCAGGCATTGTTAATGCTAGCGCTACGTTGTTAGGATTAGGCATTATAAGTACTAGCTGCTTTTTAGGCTGGGGAAAGACAATCCTTTCAACTCAGCTGAATATGAAAAGTGCTTTCAGAAGTACCGGCTGGACCACAGAAGAGAGAGACTTGCACGTCAAGGGCGTCCATCAGAGGAAACAGGATGCAAGGTCCCTCTGCTTTCTGCTGCCACTGGGGACACGACAAGAGCCCGGCAGCGTCCAGCCTGGAGCCTCGATCCCAAAAAAATCCCCAGCCACGGTAACCTCTCAGCTGGCCCTTCCTGGTTCCTTGTGCGCTGAGCACTAATGCCGCGGTCATGTTCCTGAATGGGCGTGAGCACAGAATGACACTGCTCAGGAAGCAGCAGCAGACCAGTGGTTGCCTCCCAGTTCTGCATGTGTTCTCAGGAGACAGCGTTTATGGGAATTCTACTGGCCTTTGCTTTGGAATGCGGGCGACAATGAAATTACTTGGGGACCACGACCCCATACACCGCTTCCTCTGTGGGCTTCACTTCTGCCCCGGCTGGTGACAGGCGGCAAATCGCATCAGTCGCTCTGGGTCCGTTTTAACAGGTGGGAGTACAACCAACGCATAACCCAAAAGTTGCATTTGGGCCCCTCTTGGGTCATCCATTTTGCCAACTTGGAATGATCTCCATGGATGCAAATTACAGGGGAAAAAAAGAAGAAGAAAGAGGGAATTGAATGGGATTTTAAGGAAACATTACAGCCAGCAGAGGCTGGGCCTCCGGAGTGTGACCTCACACACAGAGAAGGACCCTGAGAATTGGGGCGTTTTTACGTTTGTTCCCTTTGTTTCGACCAGCTTGGCCAGCTGATGTCTGCTCATGGATACAATGTGAAGAGGAAAAGAAGCAGGCAGCAGACTGCAAACATTTTGGCCAACTGCACTTTTTTGGGTTTTTAAAAAATTTTTAATTTTTCTTTAATGAAGGAATGAATTGATTCATTGATTAGTGAATCAGCTAATTTTTCAGCTGTGCCGTCGACTTTAGCCCCGTCATTAGCTTTTGTGAAATGAGGGCTCAGGAGCCGCTACAGGGAAGGACGGCTTGAAAGAAGAGGGTTGTTGGCATTGGATTCAACCAACCAGCTGCTCCTGGAGGATTTTCTACCTGGGTTCAAGGACCCAGAACCCCGAGGCTCATCTCCCCGTGACCCTGGCCCATCCCGTGGTCTGCACCCTGTCCATCTCGCTCCTGTCCCCACGAGGGGGTCCAGTCCACTTTCTTTCTAGTGGAGGCAGCGCTGGGGATGGGACCCAGGACCTCCGTCCGCCAAGCCCGCGCTCCGCCCGAGCTGTGCCCCCCCCCCCCCCCCCCACCCCCCCACCCCCGCCAGCGAGCAGGCCGCTTTCCGCGGCGCTCCCAGGAAGGCGAGCCAGCTTGGGTCAGGCAGCTCAC